GAAGCGATAAGGAACACCAAACTGGAGGTGGAGTGGCTATTTATATATATAGCCACTTAAAAGCAGAGCGGATATACGACACCCAACTAACTGAGGTGACAGAATCATGTTGGTGTTGTTTCCACTCGAATGGCACGTAATACTTGATTGGAGGGGTTTACCGACCTCCTTCGGGTACTAAGGCCCAGAAAAGCAAACTGATTGAGGTAATACTGCAACTGCCACTCCTGAGGTTTGATCAAATACTCTTAGCTGGAGATTTCAATACCCCATCTCTAAATCTCAGCAATCAGAGTATAACCCCCACTAGTTGGTTCCAAGGACAACTAAGTACAGCTATAAGAAGCTCTGGGCTGACTGAGCACGTATGCAGTGCCACCAGATGAACTGAGGAAGGGAAGTCCCCAAACCTGGATAACTTTTAACTAATGACCAGCTCCTGATGGGGATTTTCACGTCCGCGCACCAATGGGTAGTAGTGACCATGGCACAGTCTTGTTTAACATGGTAATAAACGAAAAACTCACACAGGACGATGACGAGACCTATCTTTGCTACAATAGGGCAAATTATACACGCATGAGAGAGGTGATCCTACATGCTCCATGGCCACGGGAGTGGTGGAGGCTGAAAGTAGATGATCACTGGCAAACAGTGAGAGATATCATCCGAAACCCTGTCGCAGACAATATACCCCAGTCACACCAAACACCTGGGAATAGGAGAACCGGGGTTAGGAGCAGCCACGGACGCTTGCTAGAGGCAAAGATGAGAGCCTGGCACAAGTGGAAGGTCTCCTTGAAGGATTCCGATCTCAGTTCTTACTCGGCATTGAGAAACAGATGCAATACCAAAGTTCGAAGTGACAGGAGACAATTTCAGATGAAGCTAGCTGCCAAAATAGAGGCAAACCCAAAGCATCTGTTTATGTCCATGTCCAAAAGAAAACCTACGAATCAAGGGTTTTGTTCTCTAAAAGGACCAAACGGGGAAGAATAAAATAATTCATGAAGCTCAACACTGGTTTCGGAAATGCTAGTCGTGTGCATCTAATCTTCTCATCGCATGGGACAGTTGGACATCCTGTTTGGACCGTAAAATACGGGTGCACGTAATATTCCTTGACTTCGCAAAGTCAGTTGACACAGTGCCTCACGCACGCCCAATCGAAAAGTTTGTGAAAATGGGCTTCACTGACACCCTCGTATCTTGGCTCAGAAACTACCTTGAGAATAGAAAGTTTCGCACTAAGGTAAACAGAAAGCACGCGAGTTGGCAAGTATCCACATCGGGAGTTTCATAGGGAACCGTCTTAGGCCCACTTCTATTCCTGATATGTATTAACGACCTGCTAGGCTCAGTTAGCTTACCGGCATTGATCTACGCAGACGATGCGAAGATCTGGAGGTCCATTAGAAGCGAAGGGGATTCGACTGAGCTTCAAAAGGACCTTACATCTATTGAGAAATGGTCAGTGAAAAACGGTTTAAAACTCAACCAACGGAAGTGCCACGTCATGCATTTCCTGCCTCATACGATGCAAACTACCTATACTCTCAATGGAAGTCCGCTCCCTAACGTCTCCTCAGAGCGCGATCTCGGTTTAATAACCACAGAAAGCCTCCACACCAGTTCAAACTATGTAGGGGATGCAGCCAAGGCAAATGCGACTCTTCACTTTATGCGAAGACAGCTTGGTGCTATCACCCCGAAATTATTTTTAACCCTATTTAAGACGTACGTGCGAGCACACTTGTAAGTTCACAAGGCTATCGCACCCCCTCTGCTTAAAAGAGACATAAATCTCTTGGATCGGGTGCAGAGACGAGCAATCAAATGGGTGATAGGATTGAAAAATAAACCCTACGACGATAGACTTCAAGTCTTGTGATTATTTCCACTGAGCTACATTAGAATCAGAGGTGATCTGATTATGGCGCACACCATATTAAACACACCAAACCATCCCAATGTGAGCATCTTACTGATGCGTCACCACCACTCCCCTCGAGGCAATACTCAAAAGATGGCACATCAACGACCGAATACTCAGATTCGTGCACACTTTCTCTCATTACGAGTCGTCGCAACTTGGGATGCTCTCCTAGCCGAAGTGACCATATCCTCCTCAGAGGATTGCTTTAAGAAGAGACTTGATAATCACGCACTCACATACAAATTATCATCTGCCTTTTGGACAAGCCGTTCATGATGCATATCTTGAGACTTGCTAGTTGTTATCATTGCCATCTCCTCAGATCACTTACTTAACCTATCTCGCTTACTTTCCTCTCCCTTGCTTACACTACGGTCCTCTCTCACAATTCTCACTATCAATTAACAAACCAAATTCATCTATATATTACTCAGTTCTGAAATTTTATTCATATTAACATTAGAATTTTATCCTTATTACCGTTCTTACTCTCCACATTGCAACTAACTGATCTCCGGTTCGGTAATGTGACGGCTGCTAGTATCCAGGAACCCTACTGCCCTGAAACAAACATTTCATTCGAATCCCGAAACATACAAACTCACAACTAATTGCCAACTGACTAGGATTAGACAGTCGAGTGGCTGGACCTCCATCCACTGGACAATGCCGAACACCTGGAACCGTACCGAAAGAACAAGAATCGAGCGCGAAGAAATCAAATCGGTTTACACTAGCTCGTGAAAAAGATATTAGATATTGGATTGTCTATTGAAAATACCAGCGCGTAAGCTGAACTAGGTATTATGTTCCTGCTAATGGAATAATAATATCATGATTGCAATTTCTAAAAAGATATTTGTTCTACAGATACCAATGCTTCTTACTTCGTTTTCGCTTACAATGATCCATTAACAATTATTTTCACTGCATTATACGTTTTGAACAGTGCACATCAACACTTCTCGTTAGGTGTAATCCATATATATATATATATATATATATATATATATATATATATATATATATATATATATATATATATATATATATATATATATATATAACAGGTCGATTTCTTGTCTGCGCCATATGTGACGCAAGTTGGCAAAAGCTAACCGAGCTTTCTGTATCCATGTTGAAATTTCGTGCTTAATGATAAGACAAGGAGGCAACGGAGAGTGTCCACATCCTTCCGAGTGCTTACTATCCCGTTTAGTCGGACAGCGCGCAAGCGACTATCTACTGGGATCCAGTCTAGGAGAGCTAGTTCTGCCCCACGACACAATACTATACCTACACTAGCGAAACCTCAGGAAGCAGCATCATGACTTCCAGATACACGAAGAGTGAATCGAGTTGCTTCTTTATTTTGACAAGGTGAAACCAAAACATTGATTTTACTTGCTTGCTTGCAAAGCGCAGCATCATTCGATGGCACGAGATTCTAAAGTCCTAGCTAATGAAGCTTGTTGTCCACAATATCCGTACATTAAATGCTCCAACATGTAGTCTAGAAGAGGGTTTCAAAATATCAGGAATGACGTTTCGTGAACTCGCTTCGTTTGCATTAGCGGTGCAGTGAGATAAGGGAATGTGAGTACAGTTAGTTGTGGATAGAGGAGAGATATGTGTGGGTGTAGGAAGGATTTGATTATGACCAATTTGATCTAGTGTGCTGTTACAGGTATGAGGGCGATTGTCCCTTCCTGGCTGCCCACACCGTGGAAGGTTGTTTCTTGATGGACCTGAAAGGGAAGATAGATTAGCGTTGGTCTTAACGACCTGGGAGCGTGATCGCAGAGTCCATGGGACAACTGCTTCAGGTCGGTCACGCAGGGACTTTTTATGAACGGCTTTTTGAGTATTAGCTCCGCTCTTAAAGGCCCTTAGTGGGCACCCTTACCGCCGGAGACGGAAATCCGTGAGGTAGGGTGAGGTGACATTTTTAGGGTCGACCTTCTCTAACTCTTCCTTCCTTGTGAGAAGTCAGCATCGCTGCAGATGCTGGTTGTCCGAGGGAAACACCTTACTGCTGTCACACACCTCTGCAGTCAGCAATACAACTTCGCCCTCAGACCTTGGGTAGCTGCTTTAGTCTGATCGTTCTCCAATCGACCTGCTTAGCATGGCAGAACCTTCAGGAACGTATGTTCCAGCTAATATAGTTGGGTTCGGTCATCACGACAGGCAAGCCCAAACACCACGAGAAGGTAGCAGCTATGGTCGGGAAAATGTCATTCGAGGTCTTTAACCATAGGTTACTGGGTAACTTCTTAAATAGTTGAAAGTAACGGAAACATTCTAGGTTCACCAGAAATCATATATCGTCCATTGATGGACCCTCATTGGAAGACTGAAAGCACTTAACACTTAACGTCTGGACCGCTGAGCCAGCATCCAACAGTGTTAATGTCTAACTCTGATCAATCGTAGGATTTTGCGGAAGCTCACACATTGACCTCAGCAGTTACTGACTACACCATACACGGCAAAACTCCACTAATCACGGCACCTCTGCAAAAGTCTCATCACTAAACTGGTCATTAGTGAGCATCTTATAGAAGTCATAGATTTGAACGAAAAGACTGCAGTGATTATATTTCAACTGCTTCACTAAGGTGCCTTCAAAATACGTTTTATTAGGAGAGTATAATACAACATCCACGGAACCACAGTCAACCTAAATTGTTCTGAAGTCATCTACATTACAATATGTCGTATTCATAAAACTGAAATTCAACTATTTTAATAAACTACTTTATAATTTTCGATTTCAAACTATTTCTAACATTCAACAGCAACCAATCAAGATTTAGGGTTAACAGAACAAGCTACGAGTCATAACACGTCGAGAAATTCCAATAAATACTTCACTTCTTGATTTGAAGTTTGTGCTGATGATGTTGTGTTCGGCAGAAGAAGAAGAAGAACAATTTGCAAGCTTCACAACCAATGCGACATTCAGTACACAGAGAATGAAACACCACAACTACAATAGAGTTAGTTGTAGAATCAGATGAGTCTTTCTTTTTTCTCACTAGAAACTTTATATTTTTTCCGATCAATTGAATGTTTGTTTTTAAAGTAGAAAAAAAGAAACGACTTCATCTCTTATGATTTTTCTTTTATTTAAAAAAAATACCAATTTTTATCCACTGAACAGTTTTGCAATGAAAAAAAAATATACAATTTCATTTTGTTTTTTTACAATGCATTGGACAAAAACACCACACGGTACAATTAGTTGACAAATAGACAACACACATGAGCATTTCATTCATGCAAGAAGTAAATCATTTATTTTCAATCATTGCGTCATTCAGTTATTTTCTTCACTACTATACATATTGCGTAACATTGCTAAACACAACCGTAAATTCATAGATTTCTGTCTTAGATGATTTGCCAAATTTGGGATATGAATAATTTTCGGTGCATGTAACAAACTGCCACTGAAAAAAGCATCAGCATCCACATTTCCAGTGTCATTTTTCTTCCATAGAACACGTAATAAATGATAACGCCAATTTTGTTGTGATGCGCATACTAGTTCGGATAAGGAAAATTCAAAAAGATCCGTTTCAGAATCGGCATTGATTTCACCACGTGATTGAGTATTGTGCGCTGATGATGAATCGATGGTTGATTTCACTTCAAGGAATATTGGACCAACATTCAGTAGACCTGATGATGATGATGATGACGATGCGATGGAATTTGGTTGTTTTGTAGTAGGTCGACGAATAATTCGGACAATATTGTTAGCGATTTCATTGGTTAAATTTTCAATTAATTTATCCCAATTCGCAGCATCACATTCAACTAAGCACCGGAAGAAATTGAAAGGAATGAAATGAATTTTTATTGTTAGTATAGAAGAGAATAGTATACTGTCTCTAAATAGTACAAGATAGAAAAGACAAGATGACGTAATTCAATTCAATTGTTGCGGTACTACTAATTACGTTTTCCACAGTTTCATAACCTGTCTTGCTTAAATATACTTAAATGTAAATCATTCAGTTTGATTTCCTGTACTGTTAAGGGGATGAAGCTGAAAGTCACCACCAAGTTGCTGCTGACGTAATGTAGCAATAATCGTGACATCTATTCGATTATCTGGGTAGCAAATGAATGTAATTATCATGTAAGTTCCGTTAAACTTAATTGACTGTTTTCGACGTTAATATATTCCACATTTACAATTCATTTTCCTCATCAATTATCTAATTTCTACGAATCGATACTGACATGTACATTTCCTCCAATAAGTAGATAAAGGTGTTCTAAATGTAGACAATATCTTATCAGATATGAGTATACTGACTTCCATGTAAACAGTAAACAACAATGCAAGTGTTGTTCGACATGTATACTTGAATTTGTCATTCGCTCTGATGTGTTTATGTTTGAGTACGATATCAGTTTGGATAATGAAGCGTAATCTGATAAAACGTAAGCGAATGTTTGACGAACGGTTAAAGTTGGAAGACTCAAATGTTCAATGCTCATAATTGAAACTTCTGTGAAATATGTATTTGTTCATAACAACCCTCAGTCGCATGTATGATTACATTTAGATTAACGGTTCAATGTGACATATAACTCACCCTTATTCAAAAATGTTCACAGTAATACAAAATAAAATAACTATGAATTTACTAAATATTTGTTATCTGGTATTCGGCATCTTAATTTATTTTTGCAGAACATCTCAGCTGAAACTTATAATGGACCACGTCAAAACCTACAAATTGTTATACCAATAATTGTTTCAGTCGTCATTCTGAGTATCGGCTGCGTCGTAGGAATACTGATATACAGGATGAAATCAAATGTAAGTTTGCAAAAACAATTCCTCACACGTTGTTTTTCTCCTTTTGATATTCGTAAAATCTGCAAACGCGAGTATATTTCTACAGTTGTACAGTCTCATTGCTGAACTGTTAGACAACTCGGAAAGTATGTTCGAGAAATTGAGCTAATATGACACACTAAACATTCACTATATGTAATTCTCCATTCTTCGTGAAATATTAAGAGGTAGATGAAAAACAGAATGTCCCATAAACAGTATTACACAAGCTAATATTATCCAATCTTCTGTATAATTTGACGATTCTTCAGGCTAAAGGAAAGCTACATGACAGAGTCTGTAACTGATCTCGACGAACAAAATCTTTGGAGAGTTGAATGTAAACAAAAGTGACATCGGAAGTAGATGTATTTCATTCAGTCATCATCTTATTATTAATTGGGAAGTTTCTTCAGATGGCCGATCGGTCATTACTTTTCAATCATATGTAGAATAGTGTTTGGTCGTGCAATCCTATCCCATCCAATATTCCTTTCATCGCTCTTCTTGAATAACGGTGTACTGAAAAATCACACCGGCATTATTATAACGGAATCAATTAATTCAATAACACATCAGTAGATCAAATGCGATGTGTTCTTTCCATAAATTATTTTCGAATGTAATTTTTCTGTTTATGACTGCATTCTTTGCCTTCTAAACCATTAACCATGTGATTTTATTTATTTTAGAAATGGAAAATCTAATATTCCGTTTGAGTTGTGAGATGAACTCAATCGACTGCCTGTTTACCGACAAACAATATCGATCAGCGTGCCGAAATCAAAGTGAGAATTTGCAGAGTACATTCTTTTCAACCATCATTCAAAATTAACTCACATTTAATAACATTAAAAGGATCACAAATGTGATCTATTAAATATTACACTGATGTTCCGCCTCTATATTTTGTTATTTTCAAGAAAAACTGAACTAACCACTAGTGTTGATATCACACATCGATCGATGTCACTCACTGTGTACTGTTTTGTTCATTCAATAGTTTGGTTGCATATACACATTTTGTAAACAACTGATGATATACATCTATTTTTTGTTTGATTATTCATTTATCTTATGTAATTCAGTTTTCACAAAAATAAACTTTATCTATATCCACGTTATATGATTGAAAGAAACAATTATTTCTATTAGAAATGAGCCTTATTTATGAATTGACATTTCTCAATAGGTAACACTATAATGAGGATCGCAAACAACCGCAGCGTAGAAACATTTTCTCGAATGTCAGGGACACTGAAAATTTTCATTTGAAAATTACCAGTGCCGTTTCTTTTCAGAACTATGAAAGAAACGTTAATAATATGCATGGTAGTTGAGTGATTTTAGACCTTCTATATATGCTTGATGTAATGGACATTTTTAGATTGAGTTATAACATCAGTCGTTCGGTTGTATAGAATTGTCGTCTAATACGATGAAGGATATTTGTAAAAAGTGAACATACATAACGAGCGCTGTCAACAAAGACGTGGCAGTTGTCTTTGCGTTGAGTTTTACGGTATCCCGAAGAAAGGCCGTAATAAAGTTCTGTGATGTTGTCTGCCTCGTTGTCCAGTGTCTCCTTAGTTTCGGTTTCATTTTGGCGACCAGCAAGTGGTGATCTGAGGCTATATCATCTCCTCTCTTGATTCTCACATCCTCCATGGTCCTTCTGAACTTTTTGTTGATACAGATATAGTGTGATCCGGTGAACTTCATGTAACTTTGTATATGAGTTTATGTGGGAATATGGTGCCGCCGATGACCAGTTTGTTGAAGGTACATAGGTTCGCAAATCTATAACCATCAAATATGAAGAAAACTGCGGATGTTTGGGGTGCGAAAATGAAGGCATGATCTACCACAGTTAGAAATATTAGTATTAGTATTATTAGTTGTAGTAGTTTTAGTAGTAGTAGTAGTAGTAGTAGTAGTAGTAGTAGTAGTAGTAGTAGTAGTAGCATTAGTAGTAGTTGAAGAATCACATGCCTTTCATTTCGTATTGCCTGTATGAATGACTATGCTGACACAAGCACATGTGAGACGTATAACAAAAAGAAATGCAGATAATGAAAATATGAAGTTCTATCTAAATTCGTAATATAAACTGAACAAAAATTCATACAAACTACCATATAGAGATGATGGCATTTGTTCTGCATCTCACCCGACTACCCTGTCTAAACTCCCCTTTATCAGCACCGTCATGATACACTGACAGAATCACATGTGCAACGTCAATGAATTCTACGCCTTATACAATCGACATGAAGACCTCGAGAACGTGCAGTTGTAACACGATTCGTACTCACAATTTACCATTTACTGGTTACACATCAAAGTCTGTAAACCGAATGAGTCAATGGCTAAACATCAACATTTCACATCGGTTTCTGAATAAAAAACTCCAATTTTCTAACGATAATAAAAATAGTAATAATAGCGTACATTTCATTTGAATCTACTGAACAAACATATATGTCTGATGGACACAGTCGTTTGTAGATAATTATACAGTGATGACGCCTGTTAGTTATGTTTGTACGTTATTGATCAAAATACCCACGTATACAGATGGACGATGAAAGGAAATTTAACTGAACTAAAGCATTTTCTTTCGGAATATAAAAACCAAGCGCGCTTCGAGTTTGAAATGTCCTCGCTGACTAGCTTCCATTTACGGGAAACAATCCAGTTTCGGGATACTTCATCACTTCCGAAGCTATAAAAAGTTGTCTTCATTCATTGATTGACAATCTGAAAACATTTTCGGGCAAACAGAACCATTCCAAGTCAGAACCATTGCGCGGTAGGTTTAGCTGCCTCATTCAACTGCTCTTTTTCTAGTTGCTTCGGCAGCATACAAACATCCACTCACTCGCAAACACAGGACTTGTGGACAAGTTATTGGATACACGCCAAGTTACGGTCGAAGGTATAGCTACAATTCTGGAGTACTTTCAGACTCTATTCCTTGTATTTATATTATATACTACTAAATTCTTCATTCCTAAATCCCTTTTTCGTGTATCACGTATCTTAATTATCTCGGTTTTCACTTTCTAATCTCCCTGGCATCATGTTAAGTAATAAGGTCGCTAGTACATTCTACACTATAACAACCAGGAAAACCTGTAGAGGCATAAACCACGGGGTTAATAGTGCGTCGAAAATCCCAATATCATGAAAAAGGGTTGTTAAAAACCTCAAACCGTCAGTCGGTATTATTCCCCTCAGTGTCCATATTTTAGATCACTCAACGCAAAAACCACAGAGGAAGCAAGACACCACTCCTATTCCTAAAAAGACCAGTTAGCTAGTTAAGGATAAGAGAAAAAGACGTCCCAAGGCCCAGTCGACACAGTCCAACGGCCAGAAACCGCATAAGGACGACTGTTTCGCCTGCTCATTACCAGTCAAAATCAGTGATTGTGCTTTCGAATGCAACTTCTGTTGTACATGGGTACTTTGTCACTGCGACACTACAGTACCTAAAGAGTACTGCGGATTCATGCTGAGTCACCCCTGCCCATGGTTCTAGTATATTTGCCCTCGGTGTATAGTATCTGAGGCATTGGCAAAGCCACAGGTCTGACCCAAAATCAGCCCTAAATTCCAAACGACCAAACCGAAATCGCATGGCGCTAAACCAGTAAAAAATGTGACAAAGTCTACCACAACCCTGCCTAACACACCGACAAAACTGCCGGTCGTTGTCAACCCCCCCAGTATTTGTCAGCAATACAAAACAGTGGGTTAACGTCAGGAAGGGGAATAGCAACACCTCAACTCACAATCGGCTACCACCCAAGAACAGGGATGACAGATCAAACTCACTTATTTTATTTATTGTCCCAGTATCGGAAGAAAGCTTGCTAGAAGTTAGGGCTGCCTTTGAGAAAGAGCAGTGGGATAAACTCTGCTCAACCCTCGGAATGTTCGACGTCCCCTCCAAAATATGCCG